TGAAGTTGGAATTCCTGGCATATCTGCCGAAGTCCATGCAAATACATCATTGTTAGCTCGGAGAAAAGCTATCAGTTCTGCTCTCTCCTCCGGGTTCAATTTAGTTCCGATCTGCGTTTTTTTGGCTCGGATCTCTATCATCAACAAGCACTTCTTCAACATCTTCTATCGGAGTAGCTCTGGTTTCATCATCCGGTCGATTATCAACAATCTCTACACCCATAACTTGCTGACTATCAGGGATTCGCTGGGGAATGACCTCGGGTGTCTTATCTTTGCCCTTCGTTAGTTGTGTTACCGAGGTGATGTAACAATGTCTGGCCACCTCCTGGTTTCCCCGTAGTGTTGCTATGCCCATGGGAGTGGGGAATTTCATGTAGAGGTGGGATTGGGAAACCACAGCTCGGATTTCAGTCAATGTGGGTCGGCCAATAACAATGTTGAAAGAGGACGCCATCTTGACGATGAGGAAACGGACTGAAGGGGTTACATAGGTCCGGCCACTCCCAAAAGCCACATGAAGGGTAAGAACGCCTTCTACCGGGATAGGTTGGTTGTTGAAACCATAGATAGGACCATCATATTTCTGCAACAATGCTGGATCTAACCCCAGACTCTCGAAACAGTGGAAGTACATGATGTCTGGTGCACTCCCGGTGTCAACAAGGACACGCTGTACTTCACAGTTATTAATCATGACAGAAGTGACCAGAGGATCATTGTGGGGTGTAACAACTGTGTCGAGGTCAGCAGATGTGAAAGTAATGGGTTGATTCTTCCATTCAGCATCGTCAATCTTCCGCTTCTGAGCTCGGTTCTGATGCTTAACCTCTCTGACATACAGCTTTCGCTGTTTAGAGCTCAGTCCTCCTGCTTCAAGGCCTCCCGTAATCATATGTATGATTCTAGCCGGTGGTGGGAGCGGAGGTGGGGCTTGCTAATATCCCACACCTTGTCTATTTGGGGATTACGGACTCCTTGGGGCTGCGGCCTTTGCTCTCTGACAAACCGCGGCTGTTCAGCTCTCTGAACATACTCATTCAGCATTCCCTTCTGAGCTAAACTTTCCAGTTCGAACTTTAAGCTGTTGCACTGCTCTGTAGTATGGCTGTGATCTTGATGAAAATCACAATATTTAGTGTGGTCTCGACTAGCAGCAGCAGTTCGCATTGGGCCAGGACGTCTCAAGTCCATTTTGTTCTTAATCTGCATAAAAATTTGTGACCTCGACAGATTAAAGGGAGTCCAATTAACTGGAGGTTTACCTGCAGATTGCTGCAGAGGTGTTGAGTTCATCCTTCTGAATCTCGGTGGGGAGGTCAACATCGGACCTCGGTTCTGCGCCATCCTCATCCTTTTCCGGCTCGGATTGTCATCTCTCCATTCTGGGTTCTGGTTCTTAGAGGGGGTGGATTTTGCGCCAGGGCATACTCCTCAGCGGTTATAAACTTGAGAGACCGATCATTCACCTCGCTAAAGGTGGTAGCAGCATGTTTGATCAAACTGTCTCTGAATCTGTCATGCTTGAGACCAGAGATCACAGCTGCAATTCCCACAGCTTGATCAAAAGAACTAACCTCCAAAACTGCATCATTAAACCTGCTCATATAGTTCTTCAGAGATTCTTCATCCCTCTGTTTAACTCTCATCAACTCAGAAGTAGTTTTCCTAATCAACCTTCTACTGGAAAACTTAGTGGCAAAGGCAGATGCCATTACTGTATACGAGCTAATTGACCTCGGAGGTAAACTGTAATACCAAGTTCGGGCATTACCTCGGAGAGTAGAGGGGAAAATTTTGCACATCAACGCGTCAGAGGCGTTCTGAGCTTGCATGCAAGAGTAGAAAGCATGCAGATGGTCATCGAGATCCTTCGTCCCGTCATAAGTCTCCAGTTGTGGTATCTTGAAGCCAGAAGGATAGGGTTCCAGTGTAATGTTGGTATTCAGTGGGTGAGGTATAGAATCAGCAGTATGGTGTGGTGGTGGAGCACCTCGGTGTTCAGCTACTAGCTTTTCCAAACTATCGAGGCGGCGAGTAACATCATCAGGGATGGGTTGTGGAGCAGGTGCTATGTGGGATTGAGCTTGAGATTCGCTAACAGCGGGAGCAGGCTGAACCGGCTGAGGATTCTGTTGTGGAGCTGGGGGTTGTTGAGCAGGATTCAATAAATTAATGAGGGGGTCACCAGGATTGTTTCTAGCTAAAAGCTGAGCCAGTACCAACTGAAAAACACCGAACTGCTGCTGCATGGCAGCGAGTTGAGCTGTCACTACGTCTTGATTGGCAGTGGAAGTTGAATTATGAGCTGAGGCATGAGGTTGATTTTCATCTCCTCCTTCTACATGATCAACAGGAGGGAACATAATTGGGACCTGAGGTGGAAGCTGAGGTGGAAGCTGAGGTGGAAGCTGAGTTGGGAGCTGAGGTGGGATCAGAGGTGGAAGGTTGTTGGGGGGTTGACCCTGCCCATGAAGCAGAGATGAATTACCAGCTCTGACTGATCGAGTGTGGACCATGATGAAAGAGCAACTAGAGAGCTTTCAGTTCGATTCCCACAGACGGCGCCAATGTAATTGCAACAAACTAGAAGTCCTTCTTCAGTCCGCAACTGCACTTCGGAACGACCTGCAAAGACCCGAGGCGGACCTCGGGGTAGACATTCCGATGCTTAAGTCAGCAATAATCGGGGTTACCTTTAGAGCGGAGATAAAAGGAGCTTAGGGTAAGTTTCAATCACCTTTTTGACGTGGCCTGGTGGGGGTATTTATAGGATCCAATGAGGAACCCACGTGGCATGCCAAGCAAGATAATCGGAGTCTGACGTGTCTATCCAGACGATTATTCCGGGACCTGGAATTTGAGAGGTATTCAGATGCACGGGTGTCCACCATACTTGCTGTGCCGCTCATCATAAGGAATCAGGTGCGGGCATGCTTATTGTCATTGTCATGCAGCCATTTGAGCGGGAAGCTTTGGGTTTATTCCTCACTTTGGTCATAAAGGAATTACTGTAGCAGTCCGAGGCTTGGCACCTCGGCCCTGTCCTTACACTACCCCTAGGAGATTTTCTCATTTATTCAAATTAATTTGTAAATAAATCCACTCCAGATTACAGGTATCCCACATTTCCATCCATGGAGGTAATTAAGGATATCTTTAATTTGGTTGTCAATTTATTTATTTATTTTTTGCAGAGGATGGAGATGAGGAAGAGGAAGAGGAAGATGGAGGGAGCATTGTGGTTGCTGGTTGTTGTAGTGTTAACGGTTGTGGTGGCGCCGGCGGAGAGTGTCGGTGACGTGAAGATATGGCCAATGCCGGCGTCGGTGAGCTCCGGTAACAAGAGGCTTCACTTGAGTAAGGATTTTGAGCTGTTGACTCAGGGGACTGGCTACAATGATGCTTCGGGGATATTGAAGGATGGTTTCTACAGGATGCTTGTTGTGGTCAATAATGGCCATGTCGTCGACGGTAATTTCTCCGATAAGTCATCTCTGCTCAGCGGATTGCACGCTATGATTTCATCTCCAAACGATCAGGTAATTACATTTCCTTCTTCGAAATTTCAATTTTGTGTTTTTGATATTTCGGGCTTTCTTGGAAATTTGCTTTGCAGTTACAATATGGTATTGATGAGTCCTACAAATTAATGGTCCCTTCGCCGGAAAATCCAGCTTATGCCCACCTTCAGGTATTTCCGATTGACCCATTTTTCTTCTTTGGTCAATGCTTCTTTTAGTAATACCCAATTTCAGTTATCGGCGACATACTGGCATTTTTCCTAATTATCATGTAGTTGGGTTTTTGTTGAACTTTCAAATTATTCTAGTTTAGCTTTTATATTTTCAAAGATTTCGTTAATCTATTCTAAACTACTTTGGGATTTGTCTGACCGTGCTCAGTATAATTTACTATGTTTGATGCTTTAGGGAAAAGGAAAGTGCCTTTTTGGGATTAGGTCTGTACTTGTTGGATCACATATACATAGTTTACAAAAAAATTAATTTTCCTTTCCTTCCATTTCTTTTTTCTTTTTTGATATTGGGAGAGGAGGAATTTGAACCCATCTAAGGATGGGGGGTATGCAGCTTTAGTGTTAGGCTACGAATCCTTTTACAAGAGTGTTTCTATGGTCTATTTTCATTGAAAAGCATGAAAGCAAATAAAGTTAGATCATCTATTTGGTATTTTACATGATATAAAATACATTGTGCAAAATACTTGATATTGTAGTGAATTGTTACAAGGATATTGTCCTCACACACGGAAGTTTGCTACCATTGTTGGATCTTCTTTGGGAAATTTACTTTGGAAATTTTAACATGTTTCATGTATGGACATTAGTTCTCTGTTACCTGACCTCAAAGCAAAATGCATGATTTCAATGTTTGTGTTGTGCTTGATGGGTGTGTTCACATGCATCGTGGGGCAATGGGCTGGATACTATATATGTTTGATTAATTTATAAATTGAGTCAGCTCAAATTTTTTGTGAAACAATGCAGGCAAACACAGTTTATGGAGCTTTACATGGGCTTCAGGTTAGTGCATTAAGTTTATAAAGCTTTCCTGTATTTTGTTATTATTAAAAATTTCAAAATTCCTAACATATTTTTGTTATTGATTATTGCAGACATTCAGCCAGTTATGCCATTTTAACTATAAAAGCAGAGTGATTGAAGTTCATATGTCACCTTGGACTATTACTGATCAGCCAAGATTCTCTTATCGAGGCCTCTTAATTGGTGAGCTGCTGTTTATGATCCCCTTCTATCATTCTATGACATTTTAAGTGATTGGTCACATGGATTTCCTTGGAAAATGTGATGATTATTGCACAATCAGTGAGTTGTTGTTCTCTGGTAACTATTATAATTGTACTTCTACTTGAATCACAAGGAAGCAATCAAGGAGTTAAGTGGGTGTATTTGTTTTAGCAATTAGCCATTAAAACTTATATTGCATGTTATTTTGGTACCAATTTTGAACATTTTACATCTTCAGCAGCCAGAATGGTGAAGGGTTTTGTTAATAGTAATTAAACAGTTGATCTGCATAAAGTTGATTACAGGATAGGGGGACCAGTTTTCTAATGATATTGGTTTTTGGAATTGGCTGCGCACTGGGCTGGTAATCTGATTGTTTGACTTTGTAAGGTCCTTTTCTTTAGTGTGTTCTTGACTGAAATTAATATCTTGCAGATACATCCCGTCACTATCTTCCTTTGCCCGTCATTAAGAATGTTATTGATTCCATGACCTATGCAAAGCTGGTATGTAATACAATCCCAACAATTATGTACTTCTATTTTCTTTATCATAGTCAGCATCCCTCTGCACTCTACATAATGAGTACATATGGCATTGCTTTTGAATTCCTTTGTTTTGAAGTATGAGTCATTGTTCATTTTATGATTATGACTTTATTTTCAACAAAGGCCCTAATCCTTCATATATATGACTAAGTATAATCTGTCCATCTTCCAATGATTTCTCTCTTAAGAAAGCATCAAAATGGAGTTGTAAGCATAAGCATGAGCCATCTACTCTACAACTTTGTTTAACCAGGATAACACTCCAACTCAATGAAGGAGCTCAAATGTAGCCAAAATAACCTTTTTTTCTTTTTCATACAGGTAGGAAAGGTTGAAATATATGGACTTATCTTAAAAGCTAAGTGGAATGATATTGTTGGTATGCATAAAGTAGCCCCAAGGGCATCATGTAGTTGGTAATTATTTACTAGAATCAGCTGCCTTTCTAGAGGTGAGGTAAAATTGGAAGTTTTTAGAGTACATTCCTAAGGCACGTTGGGAGGTGAGGAAAAATTTCTTTCCTAGAGATTTTTGTGTTTTGGAGCATAGATTCTTAATCATGTGGATATCATCGTGATTTTGTACCTTCATGTCATCCCAGCAAGCTTTTGCATTCATAATTGACTACTGACGATGTTATTTCAGGTTAACCAGATTCCCTATTTATTAGTGCCATATTTTGTTTGATGAAATTGAATCCTCATATTCTGAGACAATGCTGCCTTTAACTTTACATTTATCTTGCTGCTTGCTTTCTTACCTGCTGTTGATATTATCCAAATAGTCTTTTTTTTTTTTAATCCAAGTATAGTTAAAATTCCTCATGTTTTACTTGCAGTTGCAGACATTTTCTAACATCATTGTACACCCATATGCAATAATATTTTCTGCTTGCTTTCACACAGAATGTATTGCACTGGCACATTGTAGATACCCAATCTTTCCCGTTAGAGATACCTTCATATCCAAAGTTGTGGAATGGTGCTTATTCAGCCTCAGAACGATATATAATAGCTGATGCTGCTGAAATTGTGAGGCAAGTGCTTTTGCTACTTGGTTGCACTGAAAGAGTCCTTATTTTCCTCATACTTCTTTTGTTCCTGATATGGTGGTTATCAATTGTTGCAGTTATGCCCAAAAACGAGGGATTAATGTAATGGCTGAATTGGATGTCCCTGGGCATGCACTCTCCTGGTCGTACTAATTTTTCTAGTCATAAAGTAGTGTTAAATTTTGTTGTTGGTGCATAGACTTCCTATATGGTAGATGGAAATGTTCAATTCTGGAGAAAATATTACTTTTGTTCATGGTCGTTGTTCCTTGGTATTTTTCACTTGCACAGTTGCACTCCTCAAGATGATCTGTCCATCAGTGGTAATAGTAACTAAAATTAGAGATTTTTTGCCATTATTCAATAGATTGTGAACTTGTTTTTCTTATTCTTTAGGGGGGTCGGCTATCCTGCTTTATGGCCATCAAATGACTGTCAGCAGCCACTTGATGTCAGTAATGAATTCACTTTTCAAGTGATAGATGGAATTCTTTCAGGTGATCTCTTTGGCATAAAAACATAAATGACTGACTCTGCACTGGGTTATATTTCTTCCTTCCAATAAGTATATTTTCTTAATAAAATCTTCAAAAATGAAATTAAATTAATGTTATTGATGTTTCTTTTTACAGATTTCAGTAAGATCTTTAAATTTAAGTTTGTTCATTTGGGAGGTGACGAAGTTACTACAAGTAAGCTCAATGTGCCTTGTAATACCCTTACAATAAGTTCAATATACTTTCTAATGTTCAATATACTTTCTAATGCTCTTACAGTCTCATTGATGTAATGATATTTTGTCATGATTATGGTTTATGCTGCTACAATTGACATTTGATGCTAGAGATTGGTTGATTTTTTTGGTATATTTGATGAGTGGACTATACAACAAGGTATAGAATATTTATAGTCTGCTCCTTTGAAAAATCCCTCCCAATTTACCTCAAGTTTCAAATTCGAGATCTTCAACTTGAAGTCTAACCTTTTATCAATTGAGACACCCTTCGGGGACTAAAGAATAGTTTATTGAAGTATATGTACATTCTCTACCAATGTTCATTAAAATCAGACATTCTACTGATAAGAAAAACAAACCATAGATATTCTTTTTTGTTTCCCTTTTTTGTCTCAACTAAAGTTTATTTGATATTTTCTTCATCTCATAGAAATGAAAGTGTCTTTGAGGGTTTTCCTAAACTTATATAGAATGTCAATACAATTTAATATTTTTAACCAATAATTTATTAACATTTGAATTAACTATTAATTTCAGGTTGCTGGACTGATACTCCACACATAAGCAAATGGTAAGACTATTAGGATCTTTCCAAAAGTCCTACACTATCTGAGTTAAACATAAAGGGCTCATTTGGTTAGAGGGTGTTCATATTCCTTGGTTAAACAATAAAAACAAAACATAGTTAAGAAACTACATTAAGCCTAAATATTTATAATTCTTATTAAGATTAGGTGAGAAATAAGGAATACATAATATTTAGGGGACGTTTTAATTCATATTCCTTACTCATGCCTAATTTAGTAGTAAATTATCAATATTAAGGGGTAACTAATTCTAACTTCTTAAGGATGTTTCTCAATTTTGCCTTATTTTTATAGTTTGACCAATGAATAACCACTCCTTCCAAC